ATCGCTCCTTCACCCCCTCTAGTGTACACGCAGGACGAGTCAGGAAGAAAACTTGCTTCTCAATACATATATACAAAAAGTGAAAACGAATTAGAGAGGACGTGCTGTTTATTTACAACAGCCTGCCTCTAGGACAGCGCGTAGTTCGGTGGTAAAGCGAAAAAGTAAACTGGTGTGAGAATCACTGCATTATCGATCCTCAGGCCATTATCGTGAGAATCACTGCATTATCTGTAACCATATGCTTGAACGAATAACGGTACAACCCGACTGAGTAAATATACGGAACTGACTTGGCACTCATTGAAGATTAATGGGAGCGCCCCCCCCCCTCCCCCCCTATGAACACACGCTGTAAGTATGATGCCTAAGTCATCTGACCATATATGTGCAAAGCCCTTGCAATGACACAACCACTCCCGGCTTCCGCACCGGACGCGGCCATTTTGTTCCACCAGCGTCTTTTTGTTCCACGAAGAAGAAAAATAGTGAATCGCTCCAGCGGAGAAGAATACGAAGGAATAAAAAAAATACACAAACTTAATCTAAAAAAAAAAATGGGACTCGAGACAAAGATCACAAAAATAAATAAATAAATAAATGACACCAGTCAAAAGCGAGCAGAAACAGAACTGTGTCATTACACCTCTCTTTTTTACCTCTTGGTGCATGGCTTGCCTTTTGAGAGTCGCAGGCGTGACGGTCTTGCTGCGACGCAGCGCAGTCGACCGCAGAGACTCCTTGAGTGGAGGCAACCAATACACACACAGTAAGCTAGAATTGGCAGGTATACTTAGTTTCCGCCAGAATTCGTACCATACAGGACATATATATGTCAGGCGACGTTGTGGAGCTAAGAAGTACAGTTAGAAAAAACGATGTCACGTCGTGCGTACATAATATGAATTTGCACCTTGGACGCGCACTAAAAAGTGACGTCATAAGCCGGAAGGACGGTGACAATATACGCCTTCCGGCTCAACAGCGGCAGCAGCTATTTCTTTAGTACCCCCGGTCGCGCTTATCTATCTATCTATCTATCTATCTATCTATCTATCTATCTATCTATCTATCTATCTATCTATCTATCTATCTATCTATCTATCTATCTATCTATCTATCTATCTATCTATCTATCTATCTATCTATCTATCTATCTATCTATCTATCTATCTATCTATCTATCTATCTATCTATCTATCTATCTATCTATCCATCCATCCATCCATCCATCCATCCATCCATCCATCCATCCATCCATCCATCCATCCATCCATCCATCCATCCATCCATCCATCCATCCATCCATCCATCCATCCATCCATCCATCCATCCATCTATCTATCTATCTATCTATCTATCTATCTATCTATCTATCTATCTATCTATCTATCTATCTATCTATCTATCTATCTATCTATCTAATTCAGGGGTATCATAAATTAATTTGAGGTGGCAGCACTTTCTTATGTATACATACCCTCGGAACTTCATTCGTGTTAGGAGAGCAGCATCTCTGCTGCGATATGCATTGGCAGTTGCATCGTAAATCTTTCAACAAAGGAGCATCCATGAACAAACCGGGAAGCAGGCATATATCCCGCTCCAGTTGTTGTATACGTCGTAAGAACGTTCGTAAATGTAATGCTCAATTTGTGAGTGTAAACTTACAGGGATGGCTAAGATGCCCCTGCCACATTCCACACAGAGACCAGCGGCTCCTCTATAAAAAATACAGGAGGCGCTGCACAGACACATCTACGAATATAGGGGGAGGGGGGGGGATGAGCCCATCGCAAATAAAATCCTGGCTGCGCCCTTAGCGAGTTGCCCTAAACGAACCACTTATTCGTGCACGCAAGCACGCTTATTATTCGCACATGCATGTGTATACGCATTGTATGGCCCCGTCTCGACAGCTACACAGACAAATGAAACGCTGCTTTCTGCGTGCGTACAAGGAAAGCGGCATGTGCCGTGCTTTGACTATAGTCGCCATTAGCGGAGAGGAAATCGTTTAAACCAACTTGTTCGCATTAATTTTTCCCTTTCTCCACTCGCCCGGACTAATTCGTCCCTCAGACCCCATTTAAGGTGCTCCTAAAGGGTGCCCAAGCACCGACGCGTTCTGAGACATCGACCACAAATGGATATACGGTTAAACGATCGGCCACGCCTTGGTGGGCGAGAAAAGCGGTGACAACCCGTCCGGTAATTTTCTCGCGCGACCTACTTTGTTTTTTTCAGCAGCGGCGTATACCGAGCTGCTAGCGGAAAGTATACAGCATGGAAAAAAAAAATGAAATAAAGGGACTGGACGTCCTCCGCCGTTGGCGACAGCAGGCCTTGCACCGTGAGACAATGGCGCACTCAGTGCCGCAACATCGCGTATACATACAATTGCGCGGAAAACTGACGTGGTACTTTAGAGGGGCCGAGGAAGAGACGCTTCGCAGTAGTACGTGGTGCCCGAACAAAGACAATCTCGCCACATTTAGTGCGGTGACGTGAATAGAGCTAATTGGGGTTATTTCTCGGCGGGATATTTCTCGGCGGGAGCGGAAGGGGACCATGAACTTCAAGGTCGCGCGCCGAACTTTCTTTCTTTCTTTCTTTCTTTCTTTCTTTCTTTTACCAGTTAGTATACCCAGTGAAATCGGTAGTACTCCTAGATGATGCCGTTACGACGTAAACTAAAAAAAGAAAGAAAAAAAAATGGTTAGCTGTTGGCAAAAAATGTGGTTACTACGGAATAAATCAATAAGGCAGGCTTTTCGTTCATACCTGCTTGTCGGCACCGCAGGACAGGCTGCCGTAACTTGCTCTTACGAATAACTACGGCGGAATAGATATATTTGAATACTGGCCCAAGTATTCTCAAGTAATAAATTATTCCCATTCCAACGTGCGGGCTGTATATAGCGCACACGTGCACTGCGTACGTTCACGTCAGCTTGTGCTTACCTACGGTATACACCCAATCACATACATCCACGGTCACCCGTCCACACTGGAGGTCTGCCTTCTGCGCTGCCAACACAGCAGCCGGTGAGGAGGGGCTCAGCAGACAAGTCTAGCCCAATGCACTGACGGGCACTGGTGTGTCTTGGGGTGGGGGTGGGGGGTGGCTATAGCGTCTTTCCCCCCCTGCTGACGACGCCCATCACCAGCACTCACGGATTGAAAAAGGATAATTTAAGGCTATGTTACGCGCGTGCTGTCATTTCTACCGTCTTCTGTACGGGGGTCATATCGACGCATTTTCGACATCAAAAAGTAGATCAGAGCCAGGCTCTGAACCATTTAGAGACCAGGCTCGTCGCGACATGACGTGGTTATATCCAGCTAATGTGGTTATAACCAGTCGTTATACCAAAGAAATGTGATGCCGCGTTTGAATCCGTGCAGTGCTGTGCACGCACACCTTTGTGCATGATTCACTGATGCTCGCACATTACACACTTACGCGACAAAGCCACGTGTGAGTGCGCATACTGGCAGATACATATTCCGCCTGCCCTGTATGCATACTGCAGGACAAAGGCATCTCCAAATGATTTCCAGTCATAGATAAGCCCATGTTCTGGGTGCCCCGTAAGAAAGGGGGTTGGGGGTAAGGGGGCATGACGATAGTAATAGCGCGAGAACAAAACGACGACACAGAGACAAGCGGCAGCAGCAACACGAAAGACACGAGTGATATAACTATCGTCATGCCACAGTAACTAGCCCAAGCTGCCACACTTCTAAGGTAAGGGGGCATTCTGTTGGTCAAGTGCACATCACATGCTTCACAACAGATGAAAAAGTAAAAATAAAAATAACAAAGATATCACGCGCTACTTACAATGAGCTGCCATTGGTCCCCAGCTTTATAGAAGTAAGAGATGAGAAGTAAGCAATTCTTGGAATACAACATCAAGGGCCCTTGACTGCCGTTATTGTCAGTAATCCACGAGGCAAGATAGACCTATGGGGTATACATTGCGCCCCCCTCACGGGTGATTAGAGGAGGAGGCCACCACCACCCACGCCCCCTTCAGGCACGCGCCTACCTTTCCAGTTAACCCTGATCTGCTCTCGCCGATTCTATAATTATTAATTTCATTGACACATTTGAGTCGTCATCATTGCGTTTTTTATCCTTCCGCACCCACTCCTTCAAGTGGCGCCCAGGTCGATTTCTTTCGTTCAGTGGGGACAAGATTATCGCCTGCCCCTGTTCTCCGTACTGGCGTAGCCAGGAAGCTGGGGAGGTGGGGGCGGGGGGATTTTCTCCGAGAATTTAAATGCACGCATACAGACGCACGAACGAACCAGAAGTTTGACTTAGAAGTGTGGCAGCTTGGGCTAGTTGGTATGACATGACGATAGTTATAGCGCAAGAACAGAACGACGACAAAGAGACCTTCGTGTCCTTCTTGTCCCTTTGTCGTCGTTCTGTTCTTGCGCTATAACTATCGTTAGTAGTTCAACGCTTTCCCCAATAAATAAACGAATAAATAAATAAATAAATAAATAAATAAATAAATAAATAAATAAATAAATAAATCATGACCAAGTCTCTGATTCTCTGACCCATTCCGCGGTGTTTTCGTCCAGTTAGAGTGGCCGCCAGCCAGGGCCTTGGCTCTTACCCCGACCTGCATCCCGACCGAAATTTCCTTTTAGCCTCTCTGGAAGTGCGCGTGCCTCTCTCCCTAGAAGAAAGAAGAAGAAGAAGAAGAGACGCGCGCACTCCGGTTTTCCTCCAAGGCGTTCTCGCCACTGTCCACCAAGAAATGCTCTCCGCCGGTCCCTCCTTCCCTCGTTTCTCGCGCGCGAAGATGGTGCACGTACGAGCTCGCGTGCGTAGACGTCGCCACACGCCGTGCGTTCTTCACGGCCCAACCTTCCGCCGCCCAATCGTACCACCACAAACATCCTAGCAGGAAAGGAGAAGGCAAAAAAAGACAGAAGAGAGGGAGAAAAAAAAAAGACAAACCTCGGCGTCGGTTCCTACCAGAGGCTCACTTGTCGTGTGACTTCTACGGGAGTCCCTCTAAACACGCTCCTCGAGAATTCGCAAGTCTCCGCCGCCCCCGAAAAAACACAGAAAGCACAGGTGCGCGCACCCCCGGGCCAAACAAACAAAACAGAGTATGGTGAAGTCCACGGGACAGGTAAGATCTGCGCTCCGCGCAAAGCCATGCTGTTTTTTGTTTTTTTTTAGGTGCCCTGTTCTACTAGCATGCGTGAAACGGTAGCGGCGTTTTGTTCGTTCTCACGGCTTACTCTCTTCATGACGATATGTTATAGCGCGAGAACAAAACGACGACACAGAGACAAGAAAGGACACGAAAGACACAAGCGCTTCTTGTCTCTGTGTCGTCGTTTTTTGTTCTCACGCTATAACTATCGTCATGCCATACCAACTAGCCCAAGCTGCCACACTCTCTTCACTCGCTCCGATAGGTCAGCGATAAGGTACCGGTCGTTTATTTGAACATACTGCATGCACTTAACCGGTGCATCTGTGGCTCGGCCCTTTGGCAACGTATCCTCGCACGTTGAAGCACGCGGGCGTTATTGTGACAAGCAGTTGAACTTGGAAACGCGTAAATTGTTTGAACAAGCGTGCATCGCTTTGCAAGTTATCAGTTTCCCCGAGTGCGCGAGGGATAGAATACGATCGTGAGCAGGCCATGCGGAAAGACGGCGCGAGGAGTGACGACTGGCTCTCACCACAGGTGCCGCTTCCACTGATGCCTGTGCAACGCCTGGATGTCACTGAGGTCATAATGAGAACTCCAAAACCACGATTTGATTACGAGGGAGGGCTCTGTAAATGTCGACCTTTCGGAGTTCTTTTTAACATACACCTAAATCTAAGCACACCGGTCTCGAGAACTTCGCCTCCATTGAAGTGCGGCCGCCGGGATTCGATCCAGCGACCTTGGGGCATCAGTCGAGCATCATAGCCTCTGAGACCGCCGCGGCGGGTTATCGCTGAGGCCAGGCACTTTGGACGTGGCAGCTCTGTGTATGCTCACTCTTCGTCTTACGCGCGCTTCACTGTCATAAACTTCAACGTCATATTTCGTAGTGAGGTGACAGGCCTGTCATTAATTATTCAGGTTGAAACGCAAACGAAATTCTTCTTTTCTTTTCGGCTCTAAGTCCGCGGAGCATTTTGCAGGTCCGCAAAACAGAAGCAGGTTTTTTGGTGGGCGATATTTGCGAAATTCGCGAAATGAATCGGGGGCAGCGGAGTCCAGGGCCGAACATAAAAACAAGCTGCGGCTACAAACGATGTACCAATGAGAGCGGACGGTCAAACAGACGCGGCAATTTATAAGCGCGAGCCGTGTAGGTGAGAAGGTTACGGGGAAGGGAGAGTCTTTTGAGAGGCCTCGTTAAGGGGCCCGCCCTTGTGTATCTCTTCGAGGTCACTTCTCGGCGATCCGAAACCGGAGTAACAGCAGTGCCATTTGGGTGAGTGAGCAGCGGGTGTGTGGCCTAAAGCGCACCCGGTCCAACGGACAACCGCAGAAAACAAGCAGAGGAAAAACAGAAAAGAGAGGGAGGAGAGAGTTGACTATATACCATCGGAAAAACAGAAAAAATAGTGTCTGCATACCTATATGTAAGGCTAGACTGCACATACACTGCGACGAGAGCTGCACGCGCGGGGAACACATGATGCGCGCGTGACACGAACAGTTATACTGTTCGCGCTGTCTCTCCCCACGTTTTGTTCTCAACCTAGTAGTGCATACATATTCACGCTTTTGTGACGAGCGCTGACGAAGCGATATCTGTATTCAGCGTACTTATAGCAACGATCAGTGTTGGTCACGCGGCAACAACGCCGCCTGATTATTTCACGCGGTTGACTGGATTGAAACAGTCCTCCCTCATATATATAGCATCGATCTGCGCAGGTCCAGCACACAGTGCAGGGTTTAAAATATTGTCGTCTTTTATGCAATTGCACCTTTGGTAACATCGTAACGTGAACACTGCCCACTGGAGCGTCCTGGATGTGATGCTTCCACAGCGTTACCGAGTCAATGGTGAAATTCGCGGATCGACGTAATTTGGATAACGAGTAACGCGTCGCTGGCAAGACGCGTTACTCCTAATCTCATTAAGGAGTAATCTCGTTACTCCTAAACTCATTACCCTAATCTCATTAAGCTCAGATAGTGCCGCATTTCAGCTCGCGCTTGAGCGAAACGAGTGCCGCCTATACTATGGCACGGCCACAGATAATTGTGGTAGGCGGTTATATATAGGAAAGAGGAGCCAATTTCTGCAACCCATAAGGAAGCACGGCGCAGCGTCGGAAGATGGATGGGGGAGGGAGCAAGATAGAATAAAACCGAAAAGACAGGCCACCGTGCGACCCTGACACGTGCTCCCGCAAAGGTTGCAGAAGATATCGCCGTTTTCGTCCTCTTCAAGAACAGCTGGTTCGGCCCAGCTTCTCAAGACAAGCGTTTCTTCTCAAGCCATACACCAACCATCGCAAGGTCGTGGTATACCCCTCTTACATTATAAAACCTGGCGGGTGCCCGGAGGTACTGGGTATCCAAACATATAACTATCGCACAAATCGCAGGCGTACGCTTTGCCAACGACTTCACAACCAGTACATAGGAGGAAACAACGTTCCTTCTCGCCAGTTCGCCTCGGTAGAACAGTGGCTTTACGGTGCCTGGCTGCGCTGACCCGAAGGACGCGGGTTCGATTTCTGTCATAACTGTTGCACTCCGATGAAGACGAAATGATAGAGGCTAGTGTATACTATGCAATTCCAGTGCACGCCAAAGAACACGAGGTGGTCGAAATTTCTTGAGCCTTCCACTATACGGCATCTCTTACAATCATCTCGCGGTTTTGGGACGTGAAACCTTCTCATCACCAAGCGACCGATATTCAGGTGCCGTGTCGTACCCGTGGAAGAGCGCGCATATGGTCACTGGCTGATCGAATTCGAAAGCGCGATCGTATTCACTGTATACTGACACGCACTATTATACGTGAAACACCATGGCATCAGTATTGAACGCATGCGAATTCGTCGCCCTGGCAGGTGCACAGCCGGCGCGTCAAACGTTTAAAGATCATTTTCGAATTTATTAGCGGTGTGTGACAGTATACATTCGGTCGAACTGCACAGTATACACGTGTTCTTATTTTAGAACAGGCTGTAAATGTAAACTCGTAGATTTAATCATTTGGGACGTTAAGCCCCAACAATTATTATTATTAAACTCGTGGCTTCCCGACGAGGCAGCCAAAACGTTGTTTTTTTTTTCCTTTTTGTGTCTTATGCTTCATTCACCTGCTTTACAGCAGATCATCTGTGGTTGGTGCTGGTTGGTTGCGAAACTTTATTGAGGTCCTGCAAGGCGCGCGTCAGCGCGCAGCGGGCGACTCCCACGGTGCCCTCAATAATTACACTGAATTATCGCACTGATGATGCTTTACTCCCTTCTTCAATTTCGTCTGTGAAGCACTTCATACTTTTTCCTTCCTTATAAATTTGTTTTCCTCTTTCCTTCCTTATAGTTTGAAACATGGCGTATAAGGCCGCTGCCAAACCGCCATGCATGTCCATCAACAGTCGTCATTTTGCCCGACTCTGCGAAACAGTATCTCTCCGGGCATCCAGTTAAGCATTACACGTATATAACCAAGGACTGACTACAGCCTATATACACATGACCGTTTGTTATATTGTTAGCAGTGCACCGTACAAGTGACCTGCCGTAGCTATATACCATGGCGAAAACGGAGGCGTTCGAAAAAATGGGCCGAGGACAACGCGCGCGAAAGCTCACGACTGTTAATTATTTACACGCGTGTTCTTTGCCAATCGATAACATAGGAAGGCACAAAGGTGCCCGTGTACAAGCAAGCACAGTATACGCATTGACAGCGAAATAATTGCGCTCACGATGGTCGTAGTGCTTCGTCGAGGATCACTGCAGGCGCAACAGTACGATGCAGAGAGGCGGATAATGGACGTTTCCGAAGGAAGTCCGTTAACGATTTTTACGAGGGCCCGGTAAATCGGATACGTAAAGACATTTTTTTACCGAGGGCTTCCTGCAGGTGCTGCCATAGTACTCTCTAGGCTGTTGTTAACTTAAACATGCCCCCCCCCCCCTCCCCTAATATTATAAATGCACTGCCAAGGCCGTGACGTAGGTTTCTGTATGTGTACTCCCGTGCAAAAGCCCAGAAAGGAGAGGACCCTCCTCTCCGTTGAAAAGCTGTCGATTCCCACACTCCGCTTAGAAAGGAGGGCCAGAATATCCGGACCCCACTCTGCGTATACACACCATAACTGTAAGGTTTTTTTTGTATACGTATGAAATGAAAGGATACTGAGATTATCATGGATAAATCGGACAAAGTTGTCTCAAATGTTAGCACAAAGCATTGAGTTGTTTTCCTTCCCATATCCTGTAAATAAAAGCATAGCTTAAAAAATATTTTTTTTGCCAGTCACTACTCATTAACTGTTCAATTGTATTTTAACTTTAAAAACGTGTAAAAGTAGTTGCTACTCTATTTTTCGTCCACATAGAAATCAAATCAAATGGAGGATTTGTCGCCAGTTTTTGCGCTCATCTATCCCTTTCCACTCGGTTCTCAAGATGAAATAATATTTGAGGGAGAAAAACAATGCATATACGGATATACAGTCCTGTACTTGGTGTGCTAAAAAAATATCGTCGCTTTTTTATTTGTCCCTGCGAGTGCATATGCGTGTAATCAAATATATACCGCGCAGGCAATACATCATCATCATCATAATCATCATCATCATTTATTATCTCTTAACACCCCTTGATGGGGCATTACATGGGGGGGGGGGGAGTAGCGAAATATACACAAAAGGTTACATTTACAAAGAAAAAAAAAGCATGCTGGCTCTGTACGCTGCTACAAAACCGGAAGGTAAAACGAAAAAAAAAGACATGCTAAGTGTTCCTGCATGTGTTAATAAAGTATTTGCGTTGTGGTTTCACAAGCATGAAACAAAGAAAAATATAACAAACATCACAGTAAGTGTTTACAGTATGATTGGTGAACTGGTTTTGCAATAATCGAAGTGCCGCGGCACCTTACTTTTTTTTTATCGGTTACACTGATCGAGATAAAGACG